CTCTGGTCCGTGGAGCTTTGCTGACAGCGTGTCTTTAGTTACACGTATTGCAAATATATGGCTCAAAACTCTGCTGAGTGCATGCACAGAGTGCTACCAAACTGGGAACGTGCCGTCCTCGTGCTGCAACCCTCACGTATAGACTACTATTAGAAGCATATGGAATAGACATTTAAGTCCTGTGCTGGAGGAGATAAAACTGCATTACTCAAAAATACATGCTATAATGCCTTCGTGAACTCCAATCTGCTTTTGTGGCTATAAAATAAATCCAGTCTTAGGAACCCAGCATTAAATGGTATTATACTAATTATCCAGCTTCACACACATACATAGTTTCTCCAAGTTTCCAGACTCGTGACTCAGTATTTATTTGCTCCTTTAAAAGCAAAGATATCCATTTTCACATTTCATGGAGATTTTCCTTACAACATAAGCCATTATCATGAAGTGAAAGCAGATCCAAATAATCTTATAAAACTAAAAGCATTTTATCAGGCTCTCTTCTGCATGACAGGCACAATTCCATCCAAACAGCAGGGGCTGGATGGTTAACAACCACCAGCTACAGCACTTGGTGCAAATGGACCAAAACCCTGAGAACAGCACATCCTGTGCCCTCATCATCACGGGCAAAGCCAGCAATCACCTTCTGGATGCAATAATGCAATCCACGAGGAGAGAGATGATTCAGTGCCCAGCAGCATCCCTCAAACACAGAGCACGAGCAGTCCCACAGCCTGTGGTCACTGTGTGCTCTCTGAATGCTGCACCCCAGTCTTATAGAAACACTCATCTAAAAGATAACTTTCACTTCCAGCACAGCAAAATGTAAGTTTATTCTGAAAGTAACTAAGGCAAATGGGGTATGTGAGCCACAAAGCATGGGGTAATTCTTCCTACAGCATTACAATGGGCTGATCCCTCTGCGTGTAGTTATTTGGTTAGGAACCACTTTGCTGTTCTAACATTCACACAAATCTTAAGACACGCGAAACCTGAGGAAAGATCTTAAGGTTTTGGGTGTTTTTTAAGGAAGAAAGGGAAATGAAAAGTGCCCACCTTTCTCATTAAAAAAAGAAGGGGGAGGGGGAACAAAGCAGCAGCTCTGGTAACAGCACCGTATTTACTGTCGGTTCAACAACTTTGAATGGAAAGCGCAAATGCTTTGATAAAAATCAATTGAACTGCCTCAGTATCGGGTCAGTGAAGTGCCTCTGCATCCTTTGCTGAAACCCTGTGGGCTGCTGAAGCAATATTCCTCGTGAAATCACTGCCTGCTCTGAAAACAGGCTCCTAGGCAAGAGCCTGGACAAACGGCCCTCATTCAAACCCCATTTCTCCAACAGGAACCAAGGCGCAAGCCAGCATTTCCCAATCAACAACACCCTCACCTCAGAGGCCATTTCATTTCTATCACTTTGTTAAAGATTAACTTGCAGGTCTCTGTGCAATTCAGGTCTGTTCAGGAGGCTGAGAACCAACTGGAAGGCAGCTTTAGCAGCCCACGTGCCCATCACATGGAGCCATGAAGCAAACAAAGCACATCTGCCTGTCCATCCACCTGTCCCTCCACCCATAGCACGCACTGCTGGGCTCAGCCCTGTGCACACAATGGGCTGGGAGGCGAGGAGTGAGCTTGGCTACACGCACCTAAACACTCCCCTGAAATGTTCCCAAGGTCTCTGGGGTAACAACAAACAGTTGATGTAACTGGGTTTACTCTTTCCTTACACGTAAACCATGCAGCCTGTACCAAACCAGCAGTGTCAGGAGAAAAAAACCCAAGTTACCAGCACTGCATACTCTTGTAATTCATTCAGTTTAAATCATTGAAGAAGTTTGCACTAACCTACACTAAGGATATTTGCTCTGGCAACCTTGAATAGAGTGGTGACACTTTAAAGATGGCTGCCTCAAGAAAAGAAGATAAAAATGCAATTTATGGCAGGACGTTGTATCTCAAGGTAAATTCCTGCTACTGTGATTTGTGGCTTTCTCTGCAAGGCAGCCTCTCTCAGATATCAAGCATTTTGTCTTCACAATTTAACTACACATCTTCCTCCGTTTTTCCCCCTCACTGGCAGGGACCTTCGCAGGGAGCTCCGTCAGGAAGCACTGACCTCAGGCTAAAGCAATGCTGCGAGGTGACACCGGAGAATTCTGCATCTCGTGGGACCTGGAAAAGCTTCATCCACTCACAAAGCCTTTGAGAAGTAGCTGATGGTGCTGTGTAACCCCAGATGAGATTTTCAGCTTATGCATGAATTTTGCTATTACCTCCCCTTCCTTCAACTAACAGGTAGAAAGCAATACGGCAAGAGCAGAATGGTGTTTAAGATCAGGAATGCTGCAACAGGTGCCTGCTTCAACTAACAGCGCTCCCAAAACAGCTTGGCAGGGACCCTGCTAGGGGCAAAGGGTCAGCTCAGTCTCCACAGGTCAAAGAAAGCATTAGAGAAAAATTAAGTGAGGTTTGTCCTCGGTAGCTGCGCTGGTGTCTCACACAGGCAGTTTTATCAGCCAGCAGAAATCAGGTAGCTTTCAGAGATGTGGAACCTGGCTCCCATCTCTACTGGCACTTCAGATGCAAGAGACTCAATCCATCTCCATTACAAATCCTCTGAGCTCATCCTAGCATTACTTTCTCACGTTAAGCAAAAGAGTTAACATAAAAAGCCTGCCTGGCTTCAGACGTTATCCAGATAAAGAGAAGGAGGAAAAGAGAAAATCCCATATATTCCCTCTCTCAGCTCTCCCCAAACCTTCTCTGTCATCCTTGCTTTTCCAGACCTGATATTTATGCAGAGATGTTGCCCAGCCCTATGAAGATCTTCATGAGATGCTCTGCTACTTCCTGGTGCACTGATGGACCCACAGTACCCTCTGTGCTTCTTCCTTATGGTAAGTGCTGGGTCCTGCTTGAAAACATCATAACTGTATCTTACACAATATGTTTAAATGGCAATACCAAATTAATTACCTTCTTTTAAAGAACAAAGAGATGTAAGTGAGAATTATGCCCTGCAAGTTCATTGAAAAAAAAAAAAAAGCTGTGGCAACACTGGGCAAATAGCAGTGCCTGAGAACAAGGCGTGCTTTTGTCTTTGCTGTTGTCTCAGAAAACTGGCAGTGATATGAGAAACAGAAAAAAAAAAACTTCCAAAATAAAATTTGCAGCTCTGTCTTCCCCCAAGGGATGAAAAAACATTAAATAGTAACTGAATTACGGAAGCTGTGCTCTGAGCCCCTCACAGAGACCTAACCCGATCCTCCAATGCGGGATCCCTCTGAGCTCTGTGTCAAAAGCCTTTGTGTTGGCAATGTCTGCTCATTCAAAGAGAGCAAGGGGACATAAGAGCTGTGCAAACCTCGGCACTCCAGAGCTAGAAAGGCAAGAGGCTAGAAAAGCATATTCTACCATTAAAACCTCTCAACAGTAATTAAGTCCTAAGGAAGCCCCTTTAAACCACTTACTGATGCTAAAAGAATCTGACAATAAATAGATCAGAAATTATCACCCTCAGTTAACAATGCTCAATGCAGAACGCTTCTCCAAGCAGCAAAGCAGCCAGCTGTCTTGGCAGATGTTATCAGGTGGCCAAGTGCAACAATGCAAACTCACTTTAAAAATCATGGCCAACTTTCACTGTTCTCAATTTAATGCTCAAACTCTCAGCACTTTTCTGCTAAACATACCAGCTAGATACATGGTCCATATAGTCTGACAAAGCAAGAGTCCAGCCGCCTTTGAAGCGTGTGAGACTCACCCAGTTAAGGGCCTTGAGCTCTGCCATGGGCTGTCTGCACGCGTGGGTGCGGAGCTGCTAAAAAGGAACTTCTGGGTTTTGAGGCCATGAGCAACTACTCAGCAGAATATTTCCACTTTAATTCCCAAAGACACGAATCCCCCGTTATTTCATCAGTTAATGCTGAATAGCTATAGCCTATACATATTATGCTACGTATAACCACTAGGTAAGTCATCAGAATTACTGGTGTTTACAAAACAAATCACGGAAACTGGGAGTGTGGTTTCACCAGAGAGGTACTCCAATGCAAATGCATACAACTGAGCATTGCCTTGGCTCCTGGGACCACATGCAACGGTACCCGTGCTGCAGGAATCCAAGCCAGTCTGCTCTTCTTTCCCACCACAATGTGGGGGAGCTTGTATTCCTTCAGGGTCTGTGAGAAGCAAGTGGGAAGCCATGACAGCCTGAGATGAGTGACACAGCCCTGCAGGAATGGAACTCAGGCCTTCTCCTGTGGCCCCGGCATCCCAGACTAGAACCAGACCTGCCACAGCTGAGCACAGATACACACGTAAGAGAGAAAGGGCACACACAGCAAGCACTTGGCAGGCCCTGCAGGGGGGGCACATTCCCAACAACCCGCCCAGCACCACCAAAGCATGAGCCCAAGCACAGTCCAAGCGCTGGGCTGAAAGGTGAGTGTGTGCACCTCTAACCCGCACCGCTCTCCCAGCACAGACACGGGAGCCGCAGCCCCTGGGGATGAAGGCAACTGGGGCAGCACAGGGAACGTGCCCTCTGCCATCACCCACCCTGAAGCACTCCTTGCCCACATCCCACCCGAAGTCCCCAAGACTCCCTGTGGGCCCACGGCCCTTCACGATCCCCAAAACCCCCACGAAGCCCTACAGCCCCTCGGAGCCTCCACGAAACACCGCGGCCCACACCGAGCCTTTCCAAATCCTCACAGCCCCATCAGACCTCCCCAATTCCAGACCCCCTCCGCAGCCCCCGGAGATCCACCGCCACCACAGAGACCCCCCCGCCCTTCCACAGACCACAGACCGCACCCCGCGCCCCTCCCGGCGCCTCCCGACCCCCAGACCCCCCCGCAGGCCGCCGCCGCCCCCTCCGCGCCTTTCAGTTCAACCCCACAGCCCGAAGGACCCCACTCCCCGGAAGCCCCCAGCCCCTCCGGTGGCCTCGCCGGCCCTGAAGGCTTTACGAAGCCCCGCCGCTCCTTACCGAGGCTCTGCCCCACCGGGGTGCTGAACGGGTTCCCCAGCAGAAACTCCATCTTGGGATGACAACAAACAGCGGCCCGGCGGCCCTCCCTCCTGCTCCCCCACCCCGCCCTGACTGGCAAACACCACCACCAACCGTCGCTCGCTTTGCCGGGCGTGGCCCGCCTCCTTGCAACCCATTGGGCTGCGCTCGCAGGTTCCCTGATGCCATAGGTTCAAGAGCGTGCCCATCACTGTCAAGCGACGGGCCCGCCCCCTCAGTAGTTCCGTGCCTTGCCACGCCCTCCGGTTGATGGACAGGAGAGATACCGTTAGAGGCGCACTCCATTGGGCAACGGTCGGAAAATTCTGCAATATTAATGGGCAAGCAGACCGTCGATCATACGCACCTCCTCCCGCCCGCAAGGCACGGTTGGAGCGCTGATTGGCTGACACGATTTTCTCGGGCTCTGATTAGCAGCCAACCTTCCCACCCCCTCTCAGCGCATTGGCGGCCGAGCTCGTCACGTGACATCCCTTAGCAACGCGCTCGGGCTTCCTTAGCAACCCCCCAGGCTCGGGGCTGAGGCGCAGGTGGGCGGCGGGCCGGTAAGGGGCGCGGGCCGGGCTACGGGGCAGCACTGCGGATCTGTAAATGACAAAGCCAGGACAGAAAGGTGGGAATTCCGCTAAGTGAAGGTGTTTGCACCTATATAGGCTTTATGGTTGGTCTGCATTAAGGGCCTTCTTCAGAAAATTGCTGTTAACTGTTTATAAATCTTCCTTCTTCCTCAAAATTCCCTTTACTTCTATTACAAAAATGATGTCCGAAATTTATGAAGCGCCACTGGTAATTTCTGTATGCTGTAAATACACTCTTGTCCTGTAAATCAAACCTGCCTATGGCAGCAAGCTTAGTTCTTAAAGGAACAGGCCCTCCTCATGAGGAGGATCTCAGCAGTGGGGGATCGCCATGGCTGCTTGTAGGCCTCCCCCCCTGCTCCCTTTAACTGGCCTCACTGACAGCCTCAAACTCTCAGACATGGTGTGGAGGCTGTGCTTAGAGTCACATCAATGGTTTTGCAACCCAGCTCACAGCAGCGGGTTGTGGCTCAGTGATCTTCAAGAACCCTTTCCACCCAAGCCCCTCTATGATTCTATGCAAGTTGAATACATCTTCGACATCTTCTATGAGGTGTTAGATCTTAATACTATACTGTGTTCTTAATCCCCTGGAACTGTCATGCCAGTTCAATGAAAGTTGGAAATAGTAGCCAGACAGTAGCTTTATTATTATTGCTTTTTCTTTTCTGTCTATTAAGGCTGATATCCTCTAAAAATGAGTCAGTCAGACAACAGCTTTGAGCCAAATGTTATTGACGATGAAATGCTTCAGAAAGCAGTTGAAGAGCAATGGCCGGAGGACATAAGGAAGCTTGCCAAGGCAGAAGGTATTAACTTTAAAGAGGTGTTGGAGCTACAGCTTAGTTTTAGAAGTGAGTATCAGAACACATATATTTATTGGAGGGTAAATGAAATAAGCATTAATTGGCAACAATAATGATCATCTTAGGCTTTTAGTCATGCCTGGAAGCAGCAGTTTCAGTTGAGCAGTCTGGGTGGTATTGCCAATGGATGGCTTTAAAGCTGCTTAGCTTTATGCTATTATTGTCAGCGTTGTTCTTATTTAACATTTATATTGTGGTGACACCTACAGGCCACAGACCTATTGGGCCCTCCTGTACATGGACAAATCAAATCCTGGGCAGGCACGGCCATCAGTGGTGATGATCCAAGAGCTGTTGTTAGAATGTGGTGATTACAGTCCAGTTTGGTGGCTTCTTCTGATCCGTAGCATCATCACAGCTTGTCTCTTACTGCCAAACCAGTCATAAGCTCGCATTCAAACAAGAAGGAAGAACATTTGGTTCCGTATTTAAATATTTTGGACAAAATCAGATAATTCATTGTGTGGTCCGGAGGATTAGTTCCTTAGAACACACTTCCAATTACCTGATCCTGCATGTATTTGTTTGCAAATACAGAACAAAGAACTGTGTCAATATTTTGTACGTGCAGCTCATTGCATTACAGTGCATTCACTAAACAGCAATAGCACTGAATGCAATCTTCTGGGAAGCCATTGGAGAACAAAAAAGAATTGGATGTAAGAGTGTTCTGTGTTTTCTGTCACCTTGGTCCTAATGCTTTGCTGTAATACCTAACAGCCTGTCCTTGTGATTCTGTTTTTGGAAGAAGCTAAATGCAGCCATATTGATTAGTGCTAAACTGCAACCTTTGCAGAAACAGTAGACCTCAACTTGTTCTCCTGTGATGAGAATCCTGAGAGCAGGAAAGTAACTTTCAAAAGCAGTAACTGGCCACGAGTCGCCTGCAAATGCAGGGAAAAGCAAGAGTTTCATTCCAAACCTCATTTGCAGAGCTGGAAGGGAAAATGAAAGTCAAGGCCTCTGAACAGTGGATTCGTAAAGCCACTGTTGGCTGCAGCCAACTCCCCCTCAGTGACTTGTTGGCTTCGCTGATGAGCACTGTGGGGATGGGATGCTGAGGTTAACTGGGTTGTTTCACTAAAATTGCTTTCAGCCAGTGAACCACTCTGCTCTCTAGGGCAGTCGTCACACTTCATGTAATCTGCTAAAAAACGTTTTGGAAGAAAGACTGGATATTTCTCCTTCCGCTAAACTGAAAGCTGACTCAGATGAAAAGAAAATTTCTGTCTTTATTTATTTTCCCGTGCTCTTAGATATCCTGCAGATTGATAATCTGTGGCAATTTGAGAATCTTACTAAGCTGCAGCTGGACAACAACATCATTGAGAAGATAGAAGGTCTGGAGAGTCTGGTTCACCTTGTGTGGCTTGGTAAGATAAGGCACATGGGGCTGGATGCCTTCTCAGGTGCAAAGCAATCTGCAATAGAGCTGGGATGTCACATTCCTTCTCAAACACGACTGATAGGAGCTTTCTCAGGGAAGCCTGTCAGCTGTCTGTGTGTTTCCTCATTTGACTGTCAAACGTCGAAAGGCATGAATGTCAGTACTGCAAAGCAATCCTTAAACGTTTAAAAACCTGGTTTTAATGAATTTGGTGTGGCAGGAACAGGAAGCTGAGATTTCAAGGCTGTTTCCAGGTTTTTTACTCATATGTAGAGGTGACTTTCAGAAATATTGATGTAAACTCTGTGATTTAGAAACCTTTGTTCTGTTTATAAAGGCAATGCAAGTATTTTGGAACTTAGAATCCCCAAAAGACGGCGGTGTGTTTACCCCTACATGCCTAAAGGCTCGTCATTTTTCTTGTGCTAAGCAGTGGGACTGCTTTCAGTCGAAAACTCAGGATACGGATGGCATACCAGTGGCTGCTGCTCCTGATTCACAGCTTACAGCATTCTTTGGTAACTGCAGCCACCTTATTGGGTGGCAGCGTAAATATATCCTCGTTTGCTGCTGAAAATAGCATGCGAGGCTTTGGTTCATAACACAGCTCAGAACGCCCAAATGAGTCCCGCTCCGCTGTCTGCGCTGCGCGGATGACTGAATCGCAGCAGATCACCACTGTGGGAGCAGTTTTTTGAAGCACGCTCAGGCATTGCAGTTTGCCCAGAGGTTCTGGTGCTTCAGAGGCTGCTGCGTGCCCCTGTCAGCTGCCCAGGGGCCGGGCTGACAGCCACAGCTGTAACCACATCAGCTGCCTTTGGAATCCTGGAGCGCTCAGCTCCAGCCTGAGTGTCAACACTGCCCTTAATGGTGGTGAACGTAGGGGTTAGCCTGGAGGTTTTGGCAGGATGGGATGAAGAAATACTAACGAGTGACATAGCTACAGTGAGTCTGTGCCTTTGCATATCTTCGTTGACAACAGGGTGGTGGTGAGCATGGAGCTGACATTTGCTGGTCCTGTAAAAGTCACTGTGATGGCAAGCTGTAATGCAGCAGGCAAGAGTCTGCAAGAAACAATGCGGAGAACCCCAAATTCATCACAGAAATGCTCACTTTTCAGGGCATCTCTTTTCTTGTAGCTTGGTTGAAGTTATTTTGAGGCCATGGGTGTGGACTCTGCATGGAATGTCTTCAGCCATTCCTCTCATACACGTGTTACAGTTGTAAGGAGATGTGTACATTGTTTCCTGACCCAGAAAATGGTGATTTCATGCTGAGCCTTTCATGTGGGACACTGAGCCCCCCTGAGGAAAATAGTGTGTATGAACTTCTAAATCAAGACAGGCTAGATGCAAGATCTGAGTCGTGGTGTTCTGCTAGAAATAATTTAGCTTGCTTATACAAGTTCCAATTTCTAAACTCTTCCCCAGACCTGTCCTTCAACAACATTGAAGTAATTGAGGGCCTGGATACCCTTGTCAAACTGCGGGACCTAAGCCTCTACAACAACAGAATATCTAAAATGGAGCACATGGACACATTGCAAAAGCTACAGATTTTCTCCATTGGAAAGAATAACCTGACCAGTCTGGAAAATGTGAGTGCTCCCTGGCTTTGGAATTGCTCCCCATCAAAGGATCAAATATTCTAGATCTGACGTTTACCACTACCTCCCTTTGAGGAGAATTTTTTCCTTAGGATTTCATTTCCTCTGAAGCCTAAATTATGATTTAGGTAAGCTATCTAGCTGCTAAGTGCTGATTTCAGCTATTTCTCTGTTAAGTTACTCACTCATGAGGTCTTCATTTTGCTACTGCTGTCATCTGTGGCAAAATTCCTATTGGTTCTCATGAGAGGAATAAATAGCTACACATGAGGAAAAGAGGGAGTGGGGACTAGGATATATCTGGGGTTCTCTAGGATATATTTTGGGGTAGTTTACCAGCCTAACACCCTGATTTGTCCACCACCCAGCTAAAGGCCATCTCTCCATTTCCATCATTTACATAGTCATGATGTGAATTTAGGTATTTTCTTTCCCCAAAGCATTAAAAACTTCTAATTTAACTTGCATATGTTTGGCAGCTGAGCACAACATGTACCACAGCGTAATTGTGCAACCCATGAGCAATGAATTTCAAGCCCAGCTGTCTCCACAGCCCTGGTAAGCACAGCATCTCTTTCCCCTCCACACAGGTGGTCTATCTTAGGAGGTTTAAGAACTTAAAC